AGAAATATAAAATAGGAAATGTGACTTTGTCGCTACGTGTGACTGTGCACTGACAGCTAACAGTTTGCCAAGCTGCAAGACCAACAACACTGCTGCATGCTTAATACGTGTTTAATACTGTTGACGTGGCAGTCTCCATGTTTTCGTGTGAGGCATGATGATTATTAGTGGAAATTAAAATGGTGTCTGACATTAAATGCCATTTTACTCACAGATTAGTTGAACTTAATTTATTTTTGCGATAGCTTCTATTTAAATGAACAATTGTAAACATATCTACTGACTTTTAAAGTCTTCTTGTGACCTTTAATACTGGGTCATGCTATACATTTTGCATTTCCTATTCGGCATAGTTAAATGAATAAGTGATCACATAATACATTATTATTACAGAGAGCAGAAACAGGCCATTACATTCAGGTAGAATAAGATTAGATTTAAAAAATTGGCCTTTGGTAACAGGGCAAGTGGATGGCAGTTCAGCTGGCAAGGATCTCGCTACCTTCTCATTGTTCAATCATGCATTGCTTAATCAGTAAATGTTCTGTGATTCACTGATTGACCAGTGCTGTAGGGTTAGATTGTAAACTAATATACGTGGATGGCAGGTTTACAGGAATAGAATCAACTGTGAAATGCAGCTTGTTAAATAAAGAGAATAACATTCATTAAAATATTGGTGAAATGGGGGGATATGTAACTAGCTGGGCAGTCAGATAATGGGAATTTGCAATGGGATATAATGGGCCATCAGATAATGGGAATGGTTGCAATTTTACTACACTATACAGGACAATTATATTTACTACGCATAAAACATCAGAATAACAATGGAGAGAGCAAAAAAACAAGGTAACAGCTCGAAGATGAGCTAAAACCAGCTGGAGATCTGACCGGGGACCTACCGAAGCGCAAGCTTATTGAGCTGTTGTCCATTCTCAGTATTCTTTTTTTCTCTTGTACCTTGTTTTCTTGCTCTCTCCATCATTATTCTAATGTTTTATAGTGTAGTAAGCCTGCCACCCACGTATTTTATTTTACAATCTAATCTTACAGCAGTGATCATTAAGTGAATCCCAGAACATTTACTGGATAAGCTGTGCATGAACAATGAGAAGGTGGCGATATCCTTGCCAGCTGAACAGGTATATATTTCTAAAAACAGCTTTGCAAAATCTGCAGATCTCTTGTCTGCAGTTTTTTAAACCCCCCCCATTCTAACCCTGTCAGACTTTCTGTGGCCTTCGAATCACAGTTTTTCCAATGAAGTTCAATGAGTCTTTGCAAGGTAGGTGTTCTGGGCAATTTCCTTTCTCTTCAGTTTAGCTCCAGTGAGCATTATTGCCTAACTCTTAATTCTGTTCTTTCCTTCAACCTATAATTACGGTTATAGGTTCTCCTTCTTCCTCCTAACCTATAATTACGTTTATAGGTTCTCCTTCTTCCTCTTAATCTATAATTCCGCTTATAGGTTCTCCTTCTTCCTCCTAACCTATAATTCCGCTTATTGGTTCTGCTTCTATCTATTTCTCTATATCCTATTTCTTACCTATAATTCCGTTTATAGGTTTTGCTTCTATCTATTTTTTTATATCCTGTTACTTATAATTCTGTTTATAGGTTCTCCTTCTCACTATTCCCTTATTTCTACCTATAATTCCATTTATAGGTTCTGCTTCTATCTACTTCTCTATAACCTGTCTAAGGCTTCTTCTCTAAACCCTTTATTCTATAACCCTCATTACTACTTACCTGTAATCTCATTTATAGGTACTGCTTTATGCCTTTTGTCGACATTTTCTTTAAGTCTTCCTTCACTTATTATTATTTCAAGTTTAAAACATGACTTACGATTCCAATAAAGAACCTAAACTTAACCCTATTAACTGATCTGATCAGAACCATGACATATATAGTAAATACTATAGAAAGTAAAAAAAAGTCCAATTAAAAAGTCCAAATCTGCCAAAACGCATTTCGTAGTACGTAGTACATGAGCTTCCTCAGTCAGCTATAGTGTAGCCTCAAGAATCTTCTGTCTTTTAAATGTCATGTAGGTCCTCTAGACCCTCCTTCTTAGATCACATGTGGTTATATTAACCAATTCTCAGTCCATATTATCCCTTTAAACAATTTTCTTCATCTGTGTGTTAAAATCCTCTGTAGGGTAATTGTATTTGCCACCTTTTACAATTCTTACATTGATAGTCAGTGGTGCCAGTCTGGACGCGTCATATCCTGTTTGTGGTTGGTGGCAGTGACATCGCGGACTCTGCCACTCATTACCTCTTCCCGCCACCCATGGACACTGCGTGTTCCCCAGACATGGCTTTCTTAGACTCTTTACATTGGTGGCCAGAGGTGCCGGTCATGGATGCATTTTTCCCCTACTTTCCAAACCAGATAACAGCATGATTGTCTGATTGACAGACAAGGGAGGCTTTAGAGCAGTGCTTGTTGACCTTTTTAGGAGAAGTACCCCTGCAATTATAAAAAAAATTACCCTGCTACAAGAAAATAATTTTGATTGACTTAAAGCATCACTTTCATATCTGGGATTTTGCATAATTTGCTACTGAGGTTCCAGCTGACAGGGGGGTGGGCAAAGGTGAGTTCTACTAACCTGAATCTGTCCCTCGCGGGTGCCTCCATCTTCTCCCAGAAGGTTTTCTTCAGCTGACTTTACTGGTGAACTCTTTCAGGTTCCTCGATAGATAAAACCAATTTCTTGCAGCTGTCACTGGTGACGGCTCGGGAAATTGATACTTCTAGACGGCGGTAGCTCCGTCCAGTATCTAGAAGCAAAAACAATAAATAATGAAACCACAACTCCAAAGCTAACAATGAAGGAGTTTATTGCACCAAAGTGGAGCTGGCAATGTTTCTATCGAATCACATGGTCTTAGTCAAGTCCACCTCAACCAATTTAAATAAATACATACATAAATTAAATTAAAAGATTATAGGGAATTTCATTATTTACAAAATATGAAAAAAAACAGAAAAGAAGACAAAAAAACTAAAAAAAGAAGCAAGACATTAATAGTAAATGGTAGGTATTTGCACAACCTCGTAAATAGATTAAAAACAGAATAACTTTAAAAGCATAAGAGAAACGGATGAATGCAAAATGTAGCATTTGCACAAAAAGAAATCAAATGCACATATATTGTGCTAGCGGCAATTCAGGCAAATTATAACATTTCCACGAGAAGTCGGATGCACACAGACTGCGCTAATACGGTTCCCAGCATTATATAGAACAAACTAATTATATACAAAAATAATACAAAAAAGCATACCAAGTAAAAATACCCAAAATACTAATGTATAATAATCCGGGAAACTTGCAGTAGCCAAGAGGACATCTCTTCAACAATTCTCTGGATCTAAATAGCAGAAAAAGAGAAAGAGAAAAAAGATATAATTAATAGTCACAAGAGAAGCAAATCATAAAAATAATATCAGATCAAATTTGCAGTTTAACTGTTTAGGTTCCAAACAATGACATCTATGAATCCAAAAAGCTTATGTCTTCTTGAGGAGTTTGTCTTTCGCCCACCTCCAAGTCTCAATGTTTTGACATTTGATCTGTGATGCATTGAGATTGAAAGAAAAAAAATAGGATGGAATTGGCTTATCAATTTTTTTGTTACGAATGTTAGCTCTATGCTTAGAAATATGTTCCCTGGTTTTGTTATTATTATTATTATTATTATTTATATAGCGCCAAGAAATTCCAAAGCGCTTTATAATGGTGCACTAACAGACACGTAATTGTTCCAAGAAAAGTTGGACGCACAGGAACAGAGGGGTTGAGGGCCCTGCTCACAAAAGCGTATTCATTATAATGAACCGCCGCATTCATTATAGAATGTAACGGGGCAAGTTGGGAGTAAGTGTAGAAACACTTGAGGGAGGAAAGACCAGAAGTTCTGTTTTGGACAGGTTGAGTTTAAGGAAGTGGGCAGCCATCCAGTAAGAAATAGCACAGAGGCTGTCAGAACAGACTGATTTGCATGTCATCCACATTAAAATGATATTGCAAGAGAAGTAGACACAGTACAGATGATATGCGAGGGAATAGGATCAAGGGAGCAGGTGGTGGGGCGCAGTGACAAGTCCGCATCCGCAATGGATCAAATACACCACAAAGGTAGATTTACAAGTAAAATAATGTTTGATCTAATCCTGTTTACCTGTCTGTGGGTGGGAAAAATTTACCTTTTATATAAAAACTACAGGATGTAAGCACGGGAAGAAGTCTCTGCTTTGACTGCACAGGAGTCTAGCCTTCAGCTCTAACCAGATGTCTCCCTCTCTTGCTCTTCCCCTCACTAAAATGTTCAATCTCTCCCTTTCCTCTGGCACATTTCCCTCACCCTTCAAACATGCAACTGTAACCCCAATTCTGAAAAGGCCCAGCCTTGACCCCAACTCCCATCCAACTACTGCCCTATCTCGCTGCTTCCATTTGCCTCCAAGATCCTCGAGAGAGTTGTGTACACCAAACTGACTAACTTTCTCAAAAACTCTCTACTTGACCCCCTTCAGTCTGGATTCCATGCTGGTCATTCTGTCGAAATGGCTGTGACCAAAGTATCCAACGATTTAATTGCTGCTAAATCTCGCGGCCATCACTCTATCCTAATTTTCCTTGATCTTTCTGCTGCCTTTGACACTGTTGATCATCAACATCTTCTTCGCATTCTCTGTAATTTTGGTCTATGGGATACTGCTCTCTCCTGGTGCTCCTCCTACCTCTCCCAGCGCTCCTTCAGTGTTTCTTTCTCTGACTCTGCCTCTTCCCCCAACCACTCTCTGTTGGCGTCCCTCAAGGTTCTGTCCTTGGTCCCCTACTGTTCTCTATCTACACTGCCTCCCTTGGTAAACTCATCAGCTCCTTTGGCTTCTGTTATCATTTCTATGCAGATGACACGCAAATCTACCTGTCCTCTCCTGATCTCTCTCCGCCCATCTTGACTCGTGTCTCTGACTGCCTCTCTTCGATTTCAAAATGGATGGCTGCTCACTTCATTAAACTCAACCTGTCCAAAACAGAACTTCTGGTCTTTCCTCCCTCAAGTGTTACGACTCCAGTGTCAATCTCCCTCCAAGTCAACGGTGCTACCATCACCTCTACCTTACAGGCTCGCTGCCTGTGTGTTCTTTTTGACTCCAACCTCTCCTTCACCCCTCATGTCCAATCAATCGTCAAATCCTGTCGCTTCCATCTCAAAAACATAGCGCGCATCCGCCCCTATTTAACCCCGGATGTGGCTAACGTGCTGGTCAATGCTCTTTTTCTCTCTCACCTGGACTACTGCAATACTCTACTCAGTGGTCTTACGTGTTCCCAGATTGCACCTCTGCAATCTATAATGAATGCGGAAGCGTGGCTCATGTAAGTTCATGGAGCAGGGCCCTACACCCCTCTGTTCCTGTACGTCCAGTTGTCTGGTTACAATTACATGTATGTTAGTCCACCCATTGTACAGCGCTACGGAATTTGATGGCGCTATTTAAATAATAAAATAATAATAATAATACCCACAGCTGGGTTCCTTAGTGGCTATTACGTAGTTCCCAGAGAATAGGGAGACAAATGTGTGTTTGGAAGGAAATAGTTAGAATTCCCACAGCCTTAACACCAAACGCAACTGGATGACTAAAGAAATTCACATTGCATAACTGTAGGGTGAATGTTTTTACCTGTGCCAGATGTAAACTGATCTGTACATGACTTGTGATGTTACCCATGAACTTTCCCTTTTTACTTTCTGTACCTCCATTATCTTATGTTTTCTTATAACACTTATATTAAAAAAATAAATACTCAGATGAACCAAATTGATACGAAAATAGACCCATCAGTTTACTGCAAAATATATAGATAAATATATATAAAAACAAATCAACATTTACTGGCTGTCCCCTAACCATCAATCATCCCATTTTTGACACTACAGACGGAACTCTGATTTACCAAAAAAAAACAAAAAACAAGACTGTTCATCCATTGTCCCTTTAATTAGGTTGTTTGTGATTTATCCATATAGTGTTACAGAGTTACAATATTTGGAAGAACCGCCAATCGCCCAAAACCTGGACAGCTTGCAATTTGTTGGAACCGAAGTCTAACAATAACATTGATTGAAATAATTAATAATACAAAAATTAGGTCATTCTCCTCATTTGGATATAACATGGGTCCATTTATAAAGTATTTATAAAGAAACACATTTCACAAGAAAGAGAGGCATGTCATTTAATTTCTATGTAGCTTTCAGGAGATCTAATTGTTGTTCCATCCTTGCGATGTTCTCAGTAGTATTTAAACATGTGAGAACACGCAAAGAAACACAACATTTCAGATTTGTTTTATCTCTCAGATACTCTCTATATATATCTGCAGTCTTACGCAAATTGATTTCCACGTATAAATGATAGCCTACATAATACAAGGAATTAGGAATTAGGAGTTAGGAATACAAACAAGCAACATATTGCCTAACAGGAAATGTATTTGAACAGATATGTCTGTATAACATTTTTTGTACAATCATTCTGATTCCCAGTGGTAAGATCCTATTAGGTGCTTTACCTCTGATAATATACAGAGTTTGTAGAGAATTCAGAGTGAACTTCAAATTGCCCAATTAACCGAATTAAAAACTTAGCTGACTTGAATATTTCCAGCTATTTTGACATAAATTTGAAATACACTTTGATTCACTTCGAGTTTCCTGCAAATCTCACTTTTGTGATAGCTTCATCCTACCTATTAATGGCGGGTGGGGACTCCAATAATTAGATAAATGACACGAATTAGCTTGAATCGATATTGTCAACACTAACAGGGATGTTCACTAAAGTGCAAATTAAAAGTGAATTTAGAATTTAAGGCCAAAGTAGAGAAACTGAAAGGAAGGCTGACTCTTCCAATTCACCAGTTTTGACCTTCAATTTGAAATTATTTGCCTATAACTATAGAAGAAATTGATCAAGCCATATCTAGACTACAACTTCAAAAAATTCACATGTTCTAAGTAATTTTTTTTACAAGACATTCAAATCGATTTTTTTTTTAGACCATTTAACATCTACATTTAATGGCATAGTACACCAAGGCTTTTTCAAGCCAATCTAATTCTAAAATCTAATAAGAATCCGGCACATCTAGAAAATTATAGTCCAATATCCCTTCTAAATGCAGATATTACTGTATATGCTCGAGTATAAGCCGAGTTTTTCGGCACATTTTTTGGTGCTGAAAAATCCCCCCCTCGGGTTATACTCGAGTCAAGGTCTGTATTATGGCAACTTATATTGCCATAATACAGACCAGGATGGCCGGGCTCATTACAAGCCCGGCGGTCCTGTTGGGGCCCGGCAGGAAGCGTTTACTTACCTTTACAGCAGCTCCGTGCAATTCCCCTATCAGCTCCGTTCACCTCCCCTGTTCAGCTCGCAGTGTAAGTCTCACGACACCCGCGGCCGTCAGAGCATTGCCACGGGTTACCGTAGCAACGCTCCATGCGGCACGCACACCGGGAGACTTACACTGCAAGCGGAAGGGAACGGAGGTGAACGGAGCTGACAGCAGAGCTGCACGGAGCTGCTGTAAAGGTAAGTAAACGCTTCCTGTCAGCCCCCCCACTGCACAGCCCATCCACTGGACCACCAGGGAATGATATAGCCCCCCTCCCTGGCCAGGTAACAAGCAGGGAGGGGGGACAAAAAAACAACTAAAATTCAATATAAAAATAATATTAAAATAAAATAATTTAAAAAAAAATAATCAATAATAAAATAATAATATTAAAAATAATAAAAATGCCCTCCCACCCAGTTAACACACACCAAACAAACACACACACACTCTGCATCACATACACACACACACTGCATTATATACACACAGAGTGTGTGTATATAATGCAGAGTGTGTGTGTGTGTGTATATAATGCAGTGTGTGTGTGTATAATGCAGAGTGTGTGTTTGTATGAGTGTGTATATAATGCAGAGTGTGTGTGTGTATATAATGCACACACACACACTCTGCATCATATACACACACACTGTGTATTATATACACACACACTCTGCATTATATACACACAGAGTGTGTGTGTGTGTGTGTGTGTGTGTGTGTGTATATATATAATGCAGTGTGTGTGTGTATAATGCAGAGTGTGTGTTTGTATGAGTGTGTATAAAATGCAGAGTGTGTGTGTATATAATGCACACACTGCATTATATACATACACACTCTGCATTATATACACACACACACACACACTGCATTATATACACACACTCTGCATTATATACACACTCATACAAACACACGCTCTGCATTATACACACACACACACACTCTGCATTATATACACACACTGCATTCACACAAACACACACAATCTGCATTTATTATATACAAACACTACACACACTACACACAAACACACACACACTCTGCATTCATTATATACACACACTACACAAACACACACACACATACACATACACACTGCATTCATTATATACACACACTGTAAATAAATATTCAATTAATGTAATTTGATTGGCATCTAATTTTATTTAAATTACCAGTAGCTGCTGCATTTCCCTCCTTAGGCTTATACTCAAGTCAATAAGTTTTCCCAGTTTTTTGGGGTAAAATTAGGGGCCTCGGCTTATATTTGTGTCGACTTATACTCGAGTATATACGGTAAGTTATTTATATTCCATTCTGGCAGAAAGGCTAAAATGAATTCTAACTTATTTGATTCATCTGAACCAAATTGGCTTTATCCTAAATAGATTTTCAGGCTCAAATACCAGGAGACTAATTGGTATTTTAGACACAGGAGATAAATCCCAAACTCCTCTTCTGACTCTATCGATAGATGCAGGAAAAGCAGTTGGAGATTCATGAGTAAATCTTTGCAAAATTTTGGTATACAGGGCTGGATGCATCAAGCAATTATGTCTATGTATCACTCCCCATTAGCTAGAACTGTGGAATATGGTAACATGGCAGATTGGTTCACATTAAACAATGGAACAAGTCAGGGCTGTCCACTTTCACCACTCCATTATATTATTTTAATTAAAACATTAGCAATAAAAATTAGAAATAATAAAAGAATTAAAGATGTTTTTTATAAATCAAAGACAATGTGAAATTAACATTTATGCTGATGATGTCCTCTTGACAATGACTAATCCAAGGCAGTCTACCATATTTTATGAAAGATATTCAAGCATACAGTAAAGTTTCAAAATACAAAATAAATGTAGAAAAATTGATTATTCTTTCCCTATAGATCAAGAACTAAAAAAACAAATAAAAACATAATTTCACATATTTGAGTATTGAAATTACAAAGAATCTAAATAGATTAATGGAAGTCGATTTTTATGGAATTTCATCACTCCCTTAAGGAGTGGAGAAAGTGGAGCTTTCCTGGTGTGGCTGCGTTAATTTGACTAACTCATACAATCTCCCTAGATAGTCATATATGTTCCAAATGATACCTCTTTCAATCCCTAATCCATGGCTTAAAATGTTGTAATCGAGTTTTACAAATTTTATTTGGAAAGCAAAAACTCCAAGAATAAGTCAGTGAATTTAAAAAATAAAAGATGTTTAGAATCTCCAAATATAAGAAAAATATATAAATCTAGTATATTGACTCGTGTCTATTGATTACAAATATACTCCCCTGAATTAGGAGGATGGCAAGAGATAGAAAAAATGCATTAGGACACAGAGGACACAGAGACTTACCTTCAATTACATGGAACACAAGAGAAAAACTAAGGTTCACATATTAGAATTCAATCACACTTTATCATACAATATTATTCTATGTGCATTTTGTTTTTTTCTCTTTTTTTTTTACATATATACCCCCTGTTCCATCTTGAGGGGTAAGTCTAAGTTCATAATCTGAGCACGTTGGAATTATATCTATAGCGCTACACTCTTACTAGGTAGTGGGAAAGTTTTTTATACCGACCCATTCTTGGTCATTGTTTTTCTTTTTATAAATATAAAATACACTATTTATTAACCAAACAAAAAGCAATAAGAACAATTAAATTATGCTCAAGGAGTCCCACTTAATGCATTTCGCCTCTTCAAAAAAGTGTGGTATCATCCTCATAATGTTCCGTTTTTATAGACAGTCTGTAAGTGAAAATAACTTCCTGGTGTGATAATTGGCATTTCCTGTAACCATGGTGGAACGCACGCATCATACCAGTAGTGACGCGGCGTATATCCATCATGGAGATTTCCTGTGTTCCAGCTTGGAACGCATACATGCCCAAATGGCATTGTTGCAGTTACATCTGTATAATAGTTATCCTTCCTGTGAAGGGAGAGTGAAGAGTGAAGTATAAGTAATAATTTTAACAGCATAAAAGCTGTTTGGATGTAAGGTGCATAGAGAAAATTCCAAAATGGGTGCAACGTCATAGAGGAAGTGACGTGACGCCCCATTCGTTGTGTTGATTCCAAATACCGGAAGTGTCCTTGCGGCCATTTTAGAACAGGGCAACATGTGGGAAAGGAGAGAAGGGTATATCAGGCATACAATAGTATGAGAATAACAATGAACTTGTATGTAGATATAGTAATATACAGTAATAGAATCTATAGTGCATACATATTATTAAAAAAAGAGATAAAGGTTAGCAGAATAGTAATGATGATAGATTCATAAAATAAACTAAAACATAAAAATAATTCTCAGAAATTGATCATAAAAGCTCATAAAAGGAATATGAGTATAAAATATGTATAAAAAGAACTATATACATAGATATCGTAATACCAAAATAATTATAGGCAACATTCCACTAAATTAATACATTGAGCATAAAGGAAACTGGTAATTAGGAATAAGAATGGGTATAGTAGTGGTTATAATGTGTAACACAAAATATAAAATGTTACAAAAAAATGCTTAACATTTTTTAAAAATAAATAATAAAAAGAATACTATTTCTTTATAAAAAATTGAATAAATTCTAGGTTTAAACCATTTGGGTGTAATGTATTCATGTAGTAAACCCATTCCATTTCTTTTTTCCCAATTTTCTTAATAAAGTCTCCTCCTCTCCAATGGTTTCTTACAATGTTAATTGCAGTGAAAGTGAGATATTCAGAATTTCTTTCATGTAGGCAGAAATGTGCTGAGACAGAGTGATTTTTGTATCCTTTGTCTATGTTTCTGCAATGCTCTGCTATTCTTATTCTTAGTGGTCTAATCATACGTCCAATGTATTGGAGGCCACAAAGGCACTCCAATTATTCAATTTAAAGATAGTTCTTCATTTATTTGTATTAGGGCTGGTTCTTTTATAAGCCAGACAGCAGTTGCATTTATAAAAGCCTTTTTTTTCAGTTATGATTTCAAATCCGCAATTTCATGAAAATAAAATGCTTTTATAAATGCAACTGCTGCCTGGCATAATAAGTTACATTGGACGTACGATTAGACCACTAAAGATAAAAAAGGTACTGCAAATGGGGTATGTCCTGTCATTTTTAGTAGCCACTGGCCAAAGTTAGCGTTGATATTTGTTTGTGTGTGAAAAATGCGAAAAACTAAGTTGATGCCAATTTTGGCCAGTGTTTGTGACTAAGTGGCTAATAAAAAAGACTGGACGTACCCCATTTGCAATACCTTGGGTTGTCTACTGTTGCAAATGGCATGCCACCATGGGGGTAATTCTCATTCATGGGCTACCATACAGTCTCAAAGGCAACGTAACCATGACATATGCACAGTCGCCTTTCCGGCATATGCGGTATAAAAAAAACAACCCACCCAAAACCCAAGGATACTCAGACACCTTATGTTTTGGGAAAATTATCACAGCTTTATTAATAAATAAAATATATATAAATTATTAAGGGTCATTGTCAAAATATTTTACATAACATCTCAGCCCCACTCTTTTAACAATTAAACCCTGACCTTGACCCCCATAAACAAACAATATTAACATATATTAACATAAATAACATCTAACCACTTAAACCATTGCCACCGAGGGCATGATTTACCATGTTCCACCATGTAGGGGTATACCGAGATACACCCTAGGTTCGGAGCTACTGACGAGCTCGAACCAACCAAAATCTAACCAAATCTAACCATTCTTAGCGAACTAAACTTATGTTACATCTGGACAAACAACCTACACCCCAACTTGTTTATCCTATCAGAGCTCGACACCTCGAACTACTTGAGTGCCCCCACCAAAAACAATGCCCACTGCAGACCTTCCTGAAACTCCAACAACAAAAAGTCAACACCCACATCAGATAGGTGCACTCCATCATGCTTATAATACCCTGCAAGCTGCTCCTCCAAGTCCCTATGCCGGATCACAACATCCCCAAAATCATCTAACATAAGCTGCCATCAACTTATTTACCTTCCCCCTACTCTTAGCCACTGCCCCGTGGCATGCCGCCACCTTAACCGCGGCACCATCTTAGATCAAACGACAACTACGTCAGTGACCAACTGCCTAAACTGGCGACGACCCCAGTGGTAGAGGATGACAGAGCTGCTCCCGGTGCACCCTCTGTGGTAGCTGCCTTACCTCGCTTGAAACAACGACTGAGTCCATGTGCGCCTCTGCACCCGGAACATTCATGCTGGTAATGGCATGCAGCCCCCCATTTGCACTGGCTATCATTGAACAACCAGCAGAATCCCTTCTTGTGAACGACCGATGAGGGGGAAGCCGTACCCGCGCTGGCCCCGGACTGAAAGGGTGACGCCTTCTGCGCCATCATGAGCTTCATCCACAGCGGCAGGTCAATTTGGTCCCACCACATCCTCGGGTAAACCGACAACCACTGCCTTAATTGCTTGGCGTACCGCCACCATGCCAACCCATGTATGTGCGATACGCTTCCCAAACCCCGTCCAGGCAACAAAAGAGCTGCAAGCATCAATCGGGGTGTTTTTCCCCTATTACACTGGACAGGATGCAAAACGCCTTCAACTAGTTCCCAAAGGTTTTGGGAATTTTGAGGTAGCGCCGATGCTTCTCCTCCACCTCTTTTTTAGCATCTTTCTTATCCTCCTCCTTCATATCTAGATACTCATCAAGAGGGAGAAGAGAAAAGATTTCGAGGAAGTCCCCCTTCCAAATCTGCTCCTTCACCTCAGCCTTGAGTTGACTACCCAGGGGCACCGCGAAGGAAACATGAACATTTTGCCGGGCCGCATCTGGAATCCCCCCAACCAGCTCTTCCTGTCATACCCCAACACGGATGTCGCCCCCACTGGCACCGCGGGATCCATCACTTCCAGTCTGCCAAAGAAGATTAGGTGTACACTCAGTATTGGAAATTAATGATAAAAACCACCACTGGTGTGCATATGGAGCGCTTACAAATTTGTTGACTCACCCATATGGGTTAACATACATATGTATGGAAAACGTGACTCATAGCGATATATCCGAAACAAATGTAAATGCAAGAAATAGTGCAGATAACGTTTTCAATAAGTGCAGTGAGGGAATATTCTATATGGTCTCACTCACATGTAGCAGAGCTCTATAGGATAGGCTCAGATCTCAATGGCCTGCGTGTGCTTATGGTGACACAGTAACCAATCGGTCCTCTAGGCGTCTGGAGGTCCTTATGCATACATGAGAGAGAGAGAGAAAACAAGGGGAAGAGGAGAACCCCTAGTGCGGTCAATCCCAATGTACAGTGTCAAATAGTGCAGAAAAAGTGGCTTCTCACCTGATGTGGAGCCCTATACCTGGGTGAAAACACACCCAATTTGTGATGCGGCACGTGATGCTTCGATTCACGTGACTTGTTCCGAAACCGGAGCATTCTCATTACTAACACAGTACAGCTGTTCATGAAAAAGGACGCCAGCGGATTGGAGGGAGGGAAGTTTGAAGGACCACACAGGAGGAAGTACAAAGTATTTAAACAAGTAACAGCAGCAACTATATTACCGATTGAAAAAGCTGTCTGGGTACAGTGAAACATGTTTCGGCTGGAGGATTGAAGATTCCACATTTTATAATTTCTCACAATTTTGTTCATATTTTATTTGTAAGTTTTTACTACTTTATTTAATAAATTTTGTTTTATATTTGGAATCCACCCTCCATTGTTGCTGCTTAAAGAAGGGTAGTTGCCCCCTTAAAGGCACAGACACCTACACACCAGGAGCCAGGTATAGGGCTCCACATCAGGTGAGAAGCCACTTTTTCTGCACTATTTGACACTGTACATTGGGATTGACCGCACTAGGGGTTCTCCTCTTCCCCTTGGGCCCACACCTGACCAAAACTAACACTCCTGTCTGATCCCCCACTCCATGACCCCAGAAAAGACTTTAGACCCACCAAAATAT